GGTTTTATAGGCATTTGACTCCTCTGCACAAGGAGGACGAATCCAGGACATCTGTCAGATATTATACCACAGAAACACTCTGCAAAAATTTATTGGAAACTAGCAGATTTCACACAGAGTAGCTCTTTGTGTGTCAGTGATTAATACAGTTCAGGGAAAGAGTAGTGATGAAACAAATTCTTATAGTAACACAGACCTGTCTGTTGGGTTCTAGGTACTACTGTGAAATTGGACTATAGACTCCAATTGCTACTGGTCTTAGACTCTTAATCATGTCCATGTTATGAAAAGAAAAGATGTTAATGTGTTCATATGGAGATCAACATCATTATGCTCATATTGGACAAACTGACTCGCTCCTATTATTGCATCCAAAGAAGGAGTGGTATACTTCTCATGTTTCAGTACATGAAGAACAGAAGCCATGACAATAAACTAATCATTTGGAATCCCTAAAGTGAAATAACATTGCTAAACATTTGTGAAACTACACAATTTGAGAATAATTTGTCTTTAGTTGTTTGTATGATAGTTATAGCAACTACTGAGAAAACACTTTTGTCTTTGTTGTGTAGTGAGAGTTCTGAAAGTTCTGCAGTATAAGCATTGTTTTTCTTCTGCAGATGTTATTTATTCAATCAGATGCTTGAAACATCTTCACATAATTTTTTAATTAGTTTAGTTGCTGTTGCTGTGATTTCTACATCAGCACATTTTTCCTTCAGGCTTACTATATGTTATTGGAGAAAGACTGAAGCATTTTTTAATATTACCTCTATTTTTTTCTACCTGCTAAGTCAGTGATTGCAATTGTATTATTGAGCTGTTCTTGAACTTTATTCTTGGAGTGCTATCCTAAATACCATCGGAAAGTGCTCGGATCTTCCTTGTTTTTTTTAATTAAACGTGGTATGAATTTTTTTGTTCCTCAGAAGTATACTCAAATTATTTTATATATTTATTCCTCTTGGCTTGGCTCCTTTTGTAACTGCCACATTTTAGCTGAAATTTTATCAATCAGCATTGAAGCTATGTGAAAGTATTTTCTGAATCCTGAAATTAATCTGGCATAATTTGTGCCATGCTTATAGATTATATATATATATATTTGGGGGGGAGTCAACCCTGTCCACTCTGATTTTAATTTTTATTTCTGATACTGCAAAAATGTTGTATATTCATGAAAAATAAGCTAAATGACAATTAACTCCACTAATTTTTTCACATGGCTTCCTAACCACAAGTAAATGTGTTCAACAGAAAAAAAAATAACTTATGTACATAGTTTGAACTATTTTAATATTTATGTATTTATGTATAATATTTATGTATATAGAACATAATTTATGTTCTATCACTTCCGCATTGTACCCTGTGGCTTCAGTTAATTAATTAATGCCATCATTCCACCCCACCTCATATTACTGTGATTTTTTTTGTACGGATTCTTGTGACAAATCTGGACATCAATGTTTGGCATTATATAGAAGTGAAATGTTCATACTATCCGAATGATTTTTAATGGTTTTTTTTCTGACTTTGAAATACAGCTATCAAATTATGAGCTAAACTGAAACGATAACTCAATGCTTAATAAGTGGAATACACAAAATACTTGACAGATTAAACTAGAAGCATTCAGGTAGTTTAGTAGATTGTGGATTTGCCTTGTGCTTTCCCCCTTTTAAAAAATATACTGTATATCTACTGAAAAGTAAAGAGCCTCCAAAGAATTTCAAACCAATCATTATCTTGTTTTGTACTTCTGTTATTTTTTGGTTCATGTTGCTGGTAGTTAAAAAGGATTTTCCTGTACATTCTAAAGTTGATGGAGTATTTGTATGTATGTATGTGTACAGACATACATTTTGCAGTCATTTAAGCCCTTAAATATAGAATCAATTTGTTGATATAGTGGTGTAGTGGGTAAGGCATTGACTACAAATCAAGAGTTCTAATCCTGCCTTAGGCACAAAAGCCAGCTGGCTAATCTTGGACCAATCACTCACTCTTTCATCCTTAGGAAGGAGGCAGTGGAAAACAACTTTTGAAAAACCTTCCAAGGAAACTACATGGACTTGCTCAGACAATCAGTAGGAGTCAAAAACTGATTCAAAGTCACATGCACACAAATACAATTCCTTTGAATTGGTGTGAGAATGAGATACATGTAGTCCTCAACTTACAACAGTTCATTTCGTGATCATTCAGAGTGACAACACTGAAAAACATGACTTATGATCAGTTTTCACAATTATGAGCATTTGTAGCATCCCTATAGTCAAGTGATCAAAATTCAGACGCTTGGCAATTGACTCATATTTATGAAGGTTGCCATATCCTGGGGTAATGTGATCCCGTTTTGCAACCTTCTGACAAGCACAGTCAATTGAGAAGCTATACTCATTTAACAACCATGTTACTAATTAACAACTACAGTGATTCACTTAATAACTGTGGCAAAAAGGTCATAAAATGGGGCAAACTCAAATTAACAAAATGTTTCACTTAACAGAAATTTTGGGGTCAGTAGTACAATAGATTTGTATGAGACAGCATAAGCCAAAATGGTCAGTTTGTGGCTGCAGTTGCACATCTCTCCTACAAATTGATGATGCAGACTTGCTCACTTTATTGGATTGGGTTAATCCTTATGAGAACAGAGTTAGGGTCATAATTTCTCCAATCAGATTGTGAACTTCTTCCAGATTGAAGGGAAAGTTTTTAAAAAGTGTTCTTATAATTTAATCTTTGTATGTAAATCTAATTGTAAAATTAAAAACTGCAAATCTTTTAAATAGTAAATCTAACCTTCAGAAAATCATTTATTATCAATTAATTGTGAGATCAGTTAGCACTGGGCCCAATTAGAATGTAGGGACAAGGATTCATCATTTCAAATACCTTGTAAGTATCAGAATTAACTAGTTAGAATCCAGAATAGCTGGATAAACAATTGTCAATTGGATCTATTAATCTCATATTTTCTAACATTGGAACTCCCAGAATCAACTGCTATTTTACACAGCTATTTACCAACCATTTTGATTCATACATGAATCCTAGCAAAGACAGAAGTTTTGGGGGAAAAAACCTTGACAGTTATGGTGAAATTCTCCAAATGGATGATCTCCAAATGGACTTTAATCCAGATTCTATTTATTTATTTATTTATTTGTTGGTTGATTTCAACATTTGTATAGCTGTCCATCTTAAACCAACTCTGAGTGGCTTCCAACCAATAAAACAATACAGGTAGTCCTGGACTTAAAACAGTTCATTTAGTGGCACTGAAAAAAGTGACTTATGACCATTTTTCACAGTTATGCTTGGCAATTGACTCATATTTATGATGGTTCCAGCGTCCCAGGGTATGTGATCACCTTTTGCAATCTTCTGACAAATAACGTCAATGGAGAAGCCAGATTGACTTAACAATGGTGGCAAGAAAAGTTGTAAAATGGGACAAAATTCACTTAACTGTCTCACTTAGCAACATAAATTTTGGGCTTAATTGTTGTAAGTTGAGGACTACCTCAGTTAACAAAACTGAAAACAGAAAAAACTGATGCCCCAGCCATACATCCCTGATACATCCACATTCTTGACCTTGCCCTATGCCAAGTCCAGGCTTTAAATACTCTCCCAAAAGGATAGAAAAATAAGGGCCTGTTGGATCTTAGTGGGAAGGGTGTTTGATCGGGCAAGGGGCTACAATGGGAAATATTTACCTTCCTTCCCCAGCACTTAGCCCAATGTCATTGCCATTTCTTGTCTTTGGAACCTTAACTTCCATTAAATAACCTTCTCTAAAATAGATAGTAATATGTCACAAACTGCATTAAATATCTGGTATGTACAACTATCAAATTCAGTCCACTTGTGTGCAGAGTGCTTGAATCAACTCTTGAATTCAAACACTTTCAAAACTTTTGAAAACGGCATATGTACTCAGAACCACTGTTCTATATTCAAAATGGGTGCATCAAATTTAAGCGGGTTTAATTCCAAGTGTTTTGTGCATCTTGACAGTCCATATATTAGTTTTACAGACTTAATGACAGTATTTTAAGGTTTTTTTATTGCCTTGTTGTATTATATTTATTTGATATGTAACAATTTGGCTTTCTTCATAAATGAAAAGTTCCGATTGGGTGGGAGAATCAGTAAAATGGGGTAGCCTTTGAAACGAAGCCAGTTCTTAATTTGTATGAGAAGTGGAAGTCACTCTGTTCTAAATAAGCCAGTTACTATATATTTGATCAGTCTTTCTTTGCTTTTACTCATTGCAGACGTAAACCTAATGTGCATATATGGTATAATGATTGAGTTTTATTCTTAAATAAAACTACATGCAAACAGGTATTCCTTGACTTACAATGGCAATTGGGACCGCAGAGATTGCTGTCAGTAAGTGATGCGGTCATAAAGCACAGCTGCCATGATTAGTGCAGTCTCGGTTGCCAAACACAGGGGGACTGGTGTGTGTGTGGTGGAGGACTTGCAACCTTCCCTGCTGGCTTCCCCATTGCCTTTCTGAGGAAGCCAACAGGGAAGGTTGCAAATGGTGATCAAGCAGTGGGATGTTGATGGCCAGAAATCTAAGGATCAGTTGTTAACCACCATTTGTTCAACTCTATTGTAACTTCAAACAGTCACTGAACAAATGGTCACAGGATAAGTATTATGTTACCTATTGATAGTCATTTACAAGCTCAAGCATAAAGTGTCTATTAACAGTAAGATAACCATACTAAAATTTTCACTAAACAAATGTCCACAATCTGATTGGTGCTTAATAATCTTAACTGCTAGATATTTTTCTGTTTGACTACCGTTAGGTTGCCAATACTTCTCAAAGCATGTATTCAAGCATCATTTTTTAGAGTGTATAATTTTGGTGTTTCCAAAAATACAAAGATTTATTGAAGTTAAAAAGGGATTTTATTTTCCAGGATTGTATACAACCAGTTAGTAATAGTATATTTGTTATATTTTAGGCTAAGTAACAAGATGGCCAAAGGAACCGATCATGAGATGAGGAATCTTTCATCTCCAGCCTCACAGTCCCTCAATGATGAAAGTAAGTGGTATGTCAATGGTTTTCCCTTGGTTTTATCTAATAGAGCTTTTATATACATAGTGTGATATACAGTAGTTTATATAAAAATATTTATGTAACTTGTTTAAGAAACCTCATATAAGTTAAATATTGAGTGGAGAAGAAAAATAATTCAAGCTACAGTGATTAAACAACTGACTAATCATATAGATAAATTTATTTGAGAATTAGTTCTCATTTACTGTGTAAAGGTTAGGGTTTTTTGTTTCTGCATTTATTTATAGTTGATTTATACATCCCCACATCTAAAAAATAGTGGTTCTGGGCAATAATCACAGGATTAAAGCCAGTACAACAAAAGGAATCCAAAGGCAGTCGGAATCCAGCCATAGTCACGTGAAAAAGCTGCAATGATGAGCTTATCCAACCTACAGGTCCTAACATCCAGGTTTTCAAGGATTTACAAAACACCAATAGAGTTGGGTATTACCACTATAATCTCATGTTTCTTTCTAGAATATATTACCCCATAGTATTTAATTTTCAAAACTACAGTTTAAGCAAATAGGTAAGCTCACTGACTGTTTCTGAACCATAAAATTAACAAAAAACAGCATGTGGATATCAGCAATTTAATACTAAAATATGACTTCATTCCCCATTCCATATTTAGTATTTTTATTTGGTACCTACTTGTATCTAAGAATAGTGCCATATGTTTTCTCATCCTGTGAGATAGGTGAACAATTGTGTTCTACTATATTTAATTTTAGTTGCTCCTAATACCTAATTAGGCAGGACAAATAAAGGAATCATGTTGATTTTAGAGTGAACTGCTATAGAAATGAATACATTAAAATCAGTGAACATAATTCATTTTCTAAAAAGAAAGAGCAAACAGAACTTAAGAGTCTTAGCAAAGATGAATTCATCCATCAAATTACTGTCCTAAAGTCACTTTGTATTCCAGATATATTTAGTTCAGTATTATATTTACATTATACATTATATTTATATTTATTATATTATAATGCATGTATTTACAGCATACCGAATTCTTATTCACTAACCAACTTTACAGTTGTACCAAAGTAATAAATGTACAGAAATATTAAAGATAGAGAGATTTTTGCCTTTGTCTTTTAAACAGTATACTTTAGTTCTTTCAGAATAGCTGAAATGAAAGAGGTTTGTGAATTATTTTGAATTTATTTTCTTGGCTGATGGAGTAAAATTGAAAGTACACTTCATTTTCAAGATAATAAAGTTGCTATTTCAATATTCAGAAACTCTAAGGTATTAGTATACTTACTGATATGCTTAATCTTGTGATAGCTACTTTTCTTTTCTCATGCCATCAAATGATTTTATATATTACTCCTGTTTTATGCACAGGTAGTATTTCCTTCTCCATAATGCTACTTAACTCCTTGGCTTTGGGGTACATAAAGTATCCTCATTTATTTCTAAATTTGATTCCTGCAAATCCTTCTTAATTTTGAATGATTTTGCTACTTTTTTTATTTGGTTTTGGGTCACTCATTTATTTTAAATGATCAAATTTACTCTGACCAAATTTACTTTTTTTATTCAATTGTGTCTGATTCTCTGAGACTGCCTGGACAAGTCCTTACTGTTCTTGGCAAGGTTTTTCAGAAGTGGCTTGCCATTGCTTCCTTCCTAGAACTGAGAGAAAGTGACTATCCCAAGGCCACTCAATTGGCTTCAGGGCCAAGGTGGACTAGAATTCATGGTCCTTTAGTTTTTAGTCTGATGCCTTCACCACTACACCGAATTGTATATATAAGTGCAAATAATATTTGTTATTCCATTTTAAGTGTGTTTTCTCTGGTTTATTTCTTCAGTTTATTCTGTAACAAAATAGCAGGCTTTAATTTTTTAAAAATTTCCCTCACATCTTTTTTGCACTGTTCGACCCAAAGGCACTGTGAAAATGGATAAAAATTAACCAGGGTTATGTTCTCTTCTCATGCAGTTTGGCATTGTTCTTCAGAAATAAATTATTTTCCTGTCTTAGCAACCAGGCTAAATGTTTAAAACAAATATAAAGCAAGATAATAAAGGAAGGTGTAATCTTCTCCCTAAGTGGAAGAAAACTGCCACCTGCAACAGCTTAGTTACATTTAACAATTGAACACAGTAGGGATGTTAAATATGTAGCACAAACTCTTAATATTTTACCATTTAAAATTAACATTTCCTTATTTCTGTATGAATACCCTATAAAAGTATAGCTTTGATGCATCATATTAAAAGTAAGATAATGTTTTTCTTGTAGAATATTGATTCTGTGGTAATTTGAAACTCAATAAATGTGGATGGTTCCATTGCCAAGAAAGCAGTTAAGGGTCACATTTTCAGAAATATTAACTTTGCCTACAAAGAAATAGGAACACTTTTAAAACAGATGGCTGCTTATACACATTGACATTTTCCTTAAACATTATTCTTTTAAATAACGAGTATCACCCAATTTGCAATCAGTTCCAGTTCCAAAATGACTAGCAATAAATGTAGATCTGTTTGTTCTATTTTTTTTTAATTTGAGGCTTCTGCACTGACTAGAGATTTAATTTCATGCGCTAAATTTATGGTTTTAAGTTTACAGTAAGTTGTTTCTATCTATAATCTCTTCAGGAGTTAATTATGTTATCATCAAACATAACTGTAGCAAATGAAATGAAGAACCTTCAAGTAGAAGGTAAATTATAAGGATATGTTTGTTACCAAAATTATTCAGTGACAATCATTCTGTAGAATGAAAATATCCTCCTGTATAGTGTTAAAATGTCAATATATAACATTTTTATAACTCTTTCAGCTGTTTTTTTCTCTCCCACCTCTCCTCACTCTGGAAATAATGATTTTCCCATAAATATGGGCAACATTCAGTCATAGCTAATAGTTGTCGTCCATTTGGCCAGGTTTGAGTATTCTTAGCGATATATATTTAAACAAAAACTGCTCTCTCCATTAAAACATCATGGAGAACATTATGCATACATCATTTTTTATGCATAATGCAATTCTGAGGGCTTACTGTTTCATTTACATCTGGAGGACAGTGATATTACACTAAGTGATGTCAGTGTAAGACAATTTAAAGCAGCATTTAACCTTCCTAAGATAAAGTACATAGTTTTTTTTTTAATACACTCCCGTATACAAGACCACAGGTAGTCCTTGCTTAATGACTGTTACTTAGTAATCATTCAAAGTTAAGGCAGACCACCTAAAAGCTACTTATGACATGGTTCCAGAGTTATGATGGCTGCACACACCCCTGTAGTCCCATCGCATTTTAGGTGCTTGGCAGCTAGCTCACCTTTATGGATGGTTGCAGCATTCCATGATCATGTGACTATGATTTATGACATTTTTTGCCAGTTTCCAGCCTTTTTTGCCTGGTTTGCAATGAAAAAAATATTTGTATTTAATAACCACAGTGTTTAATAACCACCATATTTACCTGACCATGGTGTTTTAACAGCTGGAGCAAAAAGGTCATAAAATCAGGTTGCTGTGGATGCTTTGACTTAATGATGGAAATTCTGGGTTTATTTATTTATTTATTTATTTATGAGACTTATATACCGCTTTAAGTGCAAGCACTCTCTAAGCGGTGTACACCAGTAAGCAATGTATATATATATTTACATTGCCCCCAACAATCTGGGTCCTCATTTTACCTACCCCGGAAGGATGGAAGGCTGAGTCAACCTTGAGCCGGTGAGATTTGAACCGCTGACCTGCTGAACACAGTCAGCTAAAGTGGCCTGCAGTACTGTACTCTAACTGCTGCGCCACCTATAGTCCTAAATTAAGGACTATCTGTATATTCTTTACAGAAAAAAAGACTTTTTTGAAATAAGGAAGGAGGAGCTCACCCCTTATTTGTTTGTATTAGGATGTAATCTGATGTCTACAACTATTTGGGACTACTACATATATAATTTTAGTATGTAGTCTGGAGTCTAAACTATCCTAGATCCCCCAAAATCTAGTTTAATTGTTGTATCACCCTATCTGACAGGAATTCTGGCTAACTTGAAAATCTGCACATTTTACTACTATGTCTTTTGGATCTCTTCATTTATTTTGGTCATGTATGTATATTACTGTTTTTAAAGTTCTAATCCATTATTGTTACTTAACGCATTTTATAATACACAAAAATTTTATAATACACAAAAGCCACTACCTCCCCATTCCCAAAAGCAAGGCTCCATTTTTAGGTAGCCAGAAGGTCCTAAATATTTTTTTTTTTTTACAAAAAAACCCCATGCCATTTGAATAAAAACATCCACAATTAGGGTAGTAACAGTCTGTCTAACATTGCTTTTGATTTCAGGTACCATAGGAAGTGAGGAACCCAGCAAATGCTTGCTTGGAGTCTCCGAGAGTGAAGTTGATTCAGCAACATCACTTGCCTTAGAAATGAAATATGCATTGGATCCCAATCGGCAAATCAAGAAAAGAAACAAAGCCCTACAGGTGAGATTCAAAGACATCTGTGAGGCCCAGAATGAGCAAAGGGACAAACAGCTCTCTTTGTTACAGCAGACTGACCAAAAGGAAGCAAAACCCATCTCTTACAGAGCAACTTACCGAAAATACATGACAGTGCCTGCCCGAAGATCAATCCCGAATGTTACTAAAAGTACAGGAGTTCAGACTTCGCCTGAACTTAAAAAGTGTTACCAGACCTTCCCTTTGGACCGGAAAAAGGGAAATATAATCAAAAGCATAGCTTCAGTGGACACTTTTCCAAGTCAAAACAACGGATTCCTAATTGATGTTAAAGAGAAAGACAGCAAAATCTCAGGAGAGGCTATTCAGTGTAGCAAGAAAGTCACTGGATTTGTGACAGCTGAATTTATTTCACATACTAATGAACGCATGAATACAATAGAACCACCTTCCAAGGACAACTGTTTGGAGACATGTATAAGCACTGATTTGCACAGCTGTAGTAAAGAACCTCTTTCTCTACAGGACTTTGCAGCTTCAGTTTTAGAAGAGGCTGATTATCAGCTGCATGACAAAGCAAAACACCACACTGGGCCATTGAGGTATGAGGAAGCTAATCCAGCCAGCCAAGGAAAAGTGTTCAAGACAGAAGTAGCTTCTGTCTACTTGCCTGCATCTGGTTCACACACCTCACTGGCTGACCAGCAACACTTTGCAGCACCAGGGAATGACTGGTCCCTGGATCCAGCCAACAAGGAGGACAGAAAAAGAACTCTGCATCTTAATGGTCTGCAGTCACAAGCTGTAAGTACAGCTCAGGCCTATTCCACACCGGCACAGTGCCAGTCTACCCTATGTAACGAACAGACCCTTCAGGTAAATGTTTCACCTATGGAAGGAAAACAGCCTTGTCAGACAGCAGTTACTATGAGTGAAGGATGTCAACAAATTGTGCCTCACACTGAAGTGGTAGATTTGAAAGCACAGCTACAGATGATGGAGAATCTGATCAGCTCAAGTCAGGAAACCATAAAGGTCTTGTTGGGTGTTATTCAGGAGTTGGAAAAGGGAGAAGCTCATAGAGAAGGGTAAGTTGTTTTTACATATATATATATATATATATATATATATATATATATATATATATATATATATATATTATTTGTACCATATATATATATGGTACAAATAAAATACGAACACCAGGAGAGTATAAATATAAAAATATACTTTACTAAAAGCTGCCAAGCTTTTGTTTGGAAACTCCAAACATCATCAGGGCTAAGGAGCCAGTAAACAATGATGACTTAAATGGGTTTTGCCGGCATCTGCACCTGGCTCATGGACCGCGTCACCGGTCCCGGCCGGTTAAAGGGGTGGTGGAGGAGATGAATGTTAGTAATGAGATAGTGGAAGGAATGATCCGGAAGAACCATAGAAGGAAGCGCAAGGAGAGTAATAAAGAAACATCTGGAACACTAATTAACCGGCCGGGACCGGTGACGCGGTCCATGAGCCGGGTGCAGATGCCGGCAAAACCCATTTAAGTCATCATTGTTTACTGGCTCCTTAGCCCTGATGATGTTTGGAGTTTCCAAACGAAAGCTTGGCAGCTTTTAGTAAAGTATATTTTTATATTTATACTCTCCTGGTGTTCGTATTTTATTTGTACCATATATACTGTTGAGTCAGTAATAATTATCATTAAAGTAATCAAATGAGATTCTTGTGTGTGTGTGTGTATATATATATAATTATCATTACTTTAATGATAATTATTACTGACTCAGCAGTACCTGAAAATTATAATTTAGCATCTAACTTCACAGTTAGATTAATGCATTAATGCTTTATATGACCTTTCTATTTTAGTGCATCTCTAATGATCTCACAGTATGTGTGCTTTAATACAAAGGTACTTTTAAAAAACATGCTTCTAGTAACAACTGCTTTCAAATAATATTAAAATAAATATATATTGCTTACATATATTTGCCATAAAACAAAAGGGTCATGTTAAAACTAATAATATCTGTTATATGATTATCCAAGAACTCTTTCATTAATTATTTAAAACCAGAATAGACTAGGAGGCAACAAAAAACATTGTTCAGAAAGCTGAAATTGCCCAAAAGAGAAAAGCATTAGTTCATAAAAATGAAGTGCAGAATATATTATTCTGCGTTCTATAATTTTTTTGAAAGTATTGCTCACAACATTCTTAACAAGCACAGCTATTTACTCAGAGTTATGTTTTTATTTGATGATTGCAATTTCTGTTCCTTTGCATCTCACACTCTTTTTTGCCTTCTAAAAAATATAATGCCTATATTTGCTAGTCAATTCAGTGGCTGTATTTTAACAAATGCAACTTTCTATCTCCAACTTCCTGTTTTGTGTAGTTCATGCTTCCTCTGCTCCAGTAAACTTTCCCTCTTTGATTCATTTCATCATACCAAAATTACTAAGATATGTTTTTTTTTCATTTTTGGCTTAAGAAGGTGCTTTCACTCCAAACAAGCTACTGATTAGTACATGTTAAAGATAACAATAATTATAAACATGGCAATTGTTCTGTGTAATAACATTTGCTTAGCCAAAATGATTTACAGCACTTATTTAAATTTAAAACTATATCTATGTCCCAGGGACAGGCTATACATTTCAAGTACAGCAGAATTGATTCCAGTTGTTTCTAGATTTAACTGATCATTTATTTTGTGCATGCTCTTTTACATCTAATAGTGTAAGTCAACCCTTTAACTATGTGTATTGAAACTCTTTAAGCTTTTCATATTTGTATTTCCATTATATAATGGCATTATTGTTTTGTTGCCTCAGAAAGGCTGAATGTGTAAGGAAATACAAGTATGGTACTGAAGAAGTCCTGTGGTTTGTGTCTATCAAAGCAACAATTCTTAATGTTGACCTACTAGCAGAGATCCTATGGCTGATTATAGGATTTAGATTGATTTCATGATTGAAATTACCATGCAAAGTTAAAGATTTTTGGCATATTTTTTTCAGTAGTCAGGAAACTACAGAGGCAATAGTATAACCCAGTTATATGGCATATATAAATAAGGATTTACAGCTTCCTGTAGTATTCCTTCCTTTCTATTCCTGATGGAAAATAAACAACAAAGTCTTAAAACTAAGCTGGGAAGGACCAAGATTCAGAATGCACAGTTTAACATATAAAATGTAGCCTAACGAGACTTATTCTCTGATTAGTAGTTTCTGCTTCCTCCTAAAGATGCTTGTGGTGAAGGAAGCAGTATTTCTATTTCACATGCTCGTTTATTGGCTGCTGTTATTTCCAGACAGACCAATTCCTTTTGCATCAGACCCATTGCAAACTATCATTCAAAAGGAAGTTTTAGTATATCCCTGGGAAGGTTGGAACTACAGCTTTCCCCCTAAATTTGGGGTGGAAAGGGGACAATTTATCTTTATTCATAATTGACTATAAAATAAAAATGTGAGGAGAAATGACATTGAGATTCAGAATGCAGACTAGGGACCGAAAAACATTAGGACACTAGGACAGATAAAAAGGAATATCAATGATTCAGAACCACTAAGCATTATGTGTTGTCAAAAGCTTCATAAATGTTTTCACTATTCATAGTTATGACTAGGCTGCTCGTGAACAGAGGTTTAGGATTCTTTTTCTTTTCTTTTAAGCATAAAGAAGAACAAAGACCTATTTCCCTTGTTTATACTTAAAATGATATTCAAAAAGCAACAAGACTTAAAAGTGAATGCAGGGTTTCAATACTTAATTGTTTATATATTTGGTTATATCTGAAGTAAAGTGAACAAATTTACATATTATACAGAGAGGGAGAACAACAAATTGGTATAAATCAGTTTTTAATTAACATTAATTAAAAAAATATTAAAATGATAAAACTAAAACATAGGCTCTTATTTTTTTAAAAAATATGTTTATGCTTGTATGCATTTTATACTTATTAAATATATATATTAATGTCTCATCTGATATATAGTATTATGCATCCATCTCAATGGTAGATTACTCACCTCCCTGGTGAGAAGCATCTTCTTCACAAGTTGCTGAAAAAACAGACCCTAGCTGGCTCAGGAATTCTGGGAGTTGAAGTCCACGAGTCATAAAAGAGCCAAGGTTGCCTACCCCTGCCCTAGAAGATGCTTGTGAACCATTAGAGCACTCTAATTTAATAGCATCTATGTTTGACATGAACTAAAGCGTTTTCAACTCAATAGGTGAATTACCTACTGCAGATGTAAATGTGGCCATATAGTTAAAATAAATGAAATTATATATACACTTTAGTCTAGAAGCTTCTACTCAAACCTATTCCTTATTATCATAAACTTTGATTATAAATTGAATTGGTTTGCCTGTGGAAGATGACCAACCACGAATATGACTTCAATAAAACCTTGTATTTTTCCTTCCCAGAATATATAGCCACAGCCTCTTCAACACATTTTATATTCCTAGAGCAATGGAAGAAGAAATAGCAGAGAGCTAATGGCTTATGGTTTGATTCATTTTATTCTTTTGCTTAAATGAGCAAAAATAATTTTCTTCAACATCGTTTTATATTACTATAGCATTTTTATACCAGAAGAACCTATTGTAATTTTATTTCATTTTAAAACTATTTCAGTACCCCAAGTATTTTTGAAAGGATAGAAAAGAACCTTTGTTCTTTTAAAAATACTTTTATTAACATATGATTTGTTACAAATATAGGCTCTACTTCTAATGAAGAAAAGGATAACTTTGAAACTAAAAGGTAGATAGATAGACAGACAGACAGATAGATAGACAGATGATAGATATAGATAGATATACTGCAATGCAATGCAACAGAGAAAAATATAAATCCTGCTACTAAACACAGTCATGACAAAGCCTGCATAGGCTGGTAAAGGGATTATTTAGTAACACCAATTTATGTATTTATTGGATTTAAATCCTAACTTTTTTACTTAGCTTGCATTACCACTTCTAGATAATGTATGTAATTGGGATTCTAAATTCAATAGAATCCTTTTGAAAAATAGAAAGTGAATTAATTATTTAGAAAGTCTGAAACTAACCTTACTTTAATTCTTAGGTAAGGGAATTAATAATAATATTATAAAAATGGCACTATATACCAAAGATAAGCAGTGCTGTACCATTATAAATAGACAATGAAGAAAAACAAAATACAGCCAATTTTTCTTCTCTTTTCATAGTACTCTAGACTATCTTCTTCCTCTAAACAGTGAATAGTCCAGATCATCAACTGATGCTGGATACTGACTAGCTTTTTTCTCATGGGCCTGCCTATTTATTTATTTAAAAGACTTATTTTTGCAAACCTTATGCTGATAACTTGATTGTTTTCATTGACAATGCTGTTTAAACAAAATAAGGGTAAACAATCAGCTGTGCAAGTGTGAGACTCCACTAATATGCTGAAATAATAACTTTTGTAGATAAGGATGGAGAGAGGGGCAATGTGTTATACTCACTTTCAAATTCTAATACATTTTCAACCCTAATTAAAAGTCTTATAGTTTCATTATTAAGCTCTATATGACTTGGTTCCTCTTTATTTTTAGGATTGTATCTTCCAATACAATCAACCCATTCAATGAAATATTCATGAGAGATCAGGGTTGCAGACCAGTACGTTGTAATTATGGAACATCTCTGTGAGGATAGCTTGGTTCTTGATGGTATTTCAAAAGGCTTTGAAGATTGTCTTCTTTTAAATACTAGTTATACAATCAGTGTACCATTTTAATTTTGTTCTTTTGTTGGCTTCAGATAATGTTTAGGCTGGTGCTATTCATATATCTTTCATTAAAATATATAATATATTTAATATAATTAATATATATAATAACGTGTAATTAATGAATATAGTATTAGTATAATTAATATAATATAATATATAGCATAAAAATTATAGTCACAGGTTTTAAGGAGGCTCAAAGGGGAATTTTTTGAAGATTTTTTCTTTTCAATCTCCTTAAATTGATTTTGATTAGTTAGTAAATCTATTGCTTAATAAATAATAATTACAAAGTAATAATATATTAAATTTATATGTCCTATAACTCCTTTGATTCTGGAATGTATATAATAAATATACATTTGCCCACTGACAAAGAAATGATTGGTCTACAATTGTAATGGTAGGTTTATTTTAACAGTGAAACAGAATAACAAAAAATAAAATAAAATAAAATAAAAAATCCAGAAAAACACATTTCAAAAAAGTTATAAATTGATTTGCATTTTAATGAGTGAAATAAGTATTTGATCCCCTATCAATCAGCAAGATTTCTGGCTCCCAGGTGTCTTTTATATAGGCAATGAGCTGAGATTAGGAGTACTCTCTTAAAGGGAGGCTCCTAATCTCAGCTTGTTACCTGTATACCTATCCACAAAAGCAATCAATCAGATTCCAAACTATCCACCATGGCCAAGACTAAAGAGCTGTCCAAAGATGTCAGGGACAAGATTGTAGATCTACACAAGGCTGGAATGGGCTACAAGACTATCACCAAGCAGCTTGGTGAGAAGTTGACAACCGTTGGTGTGATTATTCACAAATGGAAGAAACACAAAATAACTGTCAATCTCCTTCAGTCTGGGGCTCCATGCAAGATCTCACCTTGTGGAATTTCAATGATCATGAGAATGGTGAGGTATCAGCCCAGAACTACACGAGAGGATCTTGTCAATGATCTCAAGGCAACTGGGATCATAGTCACCCAAAAAACAATTGGTAACACACTATACTGTGAACGACTGAAATTTGCAAGGTCCCCCTGCTCAATAAAGCACATGTATAGGCCCATCTGAAGTTTGCCAATGAACATCTGAATGATTCAGAGGAGAACTGGGTGAAAGTGTCATGGTCAGCTGAGACCAAAATCAAGCTCTTTGCCATCAACTCAACTTGCCATGTTTGGAGGAGGAGGAATTCTGCCTATGACCCCAAGAATACCATCCCCACCGTCAAACATGGAGATGGAAACATTATGCTTTGGGGGTGTTTTTCTACTAAAGGGACAGGATAACTTCACTGCATCAAAGGGACGATGTATGGGACCATGTGCTGTCAAATCTTGGGTGAGAACCTCCTTCCTTAGCCAGGGCATTGAAAATGGGTTGTGGATGGGTATTCCAGCATGGCAATGACCCACAACACATGGCCAAGGCAACAAAGGAGTGGCTCAAGAAGTACATTAAGGTCCTGGAGTGGCCTAGCCAGTCTCCAGACCTTAATCCCATAGAAAATTTGTGGAGGGAGCTGACGGTTTGAGCTGCCAAACATCAACTTTAATGACTTGGAGAGGATCTGCAAAGAGGAGTGGGACAAAATCCCTCCTGAGATGTGTGCAAACCTGGTGGCCAACTACAAGAAATGTCTGACCTCTGTGATTGCTAACAAGGGCTTTGCCAGCAAGTACTAAGTCATGTTTTGCGAAGGGGTCAAATACTTATTTCACTCATTAAAATGCAAATCAATTTATAACTTTTTTGAAATGCGTTTTTCTGGATTCTTTTTGTTATTCTGTTTCTCACCGTTAAAATAAATCTGATCATTTTTTTATCAGTGGGCAAACGTACACAATCAGCAGGGGATCAAATATATTTTTCCCTCACTGTAACTAGCAAAATAATAGTGAGATAGACCAGAAACCCTATCATATATGAAAGCTCTCATGAGGGGAAAACATCTTTTGAAGTGCTCTTTAATTCAGATGAATCCTAGCTCTAAATGTAGCATCACATTTAATATATCAGTTGGCTTCTGTCTCTTTACAGGAAACTGAATAAGTCATTTCTTTCAAACTTTCAAATCCTTTCCATACTTATTACACCTATTATCTGATTAAATATTACATCTTGATCTCTGCAATAAACTCAATCTTTGATTTTTCTTTTGAGTTGGGGAGGATGCATGTGACATAATTTAAAATCATTCTCTAATGCTACATCTTAAACTCAGAGAAAAATGTTCTCAACACAATTATGCAATATAAGTACATTTAATCTTGCATTTTCCATTATATATATGAAACTTTACGCTTTTTAGAAGAACAGCTATTAACTGTAACAATTAACTGATCAGCTATTAACACTTTTGTCCCAATCAGTATTTCTCTTCTACATAAATATTTACAGCAAAATATCTGTGAAAAACGTTACATAGGTTTACAAAAATCAGATTGCTGCTTTTTGCTGTCCCATTTCCCCCTGCAAAATCCAGCTGGATTTTGAATCCTATTCCTACATAATTTTTTCACATGTATTTTTTCACAGATATTGTTCCAAGGGGGAAAACTTTATGTCGAAATCGGACCTTGACTATGTAATGAAAGCTTCTTCTCATTTGTTGAGACTTGACCCATTAAAGTAAGTCTTCTACTATCAGTGCTATCGGACTGTTATAAATAATAAATTATTACATCCTAGTTCACGTATTAGAAATAATCAGAAAGTCCACTATGTATAAGGGAACTAGTAAGATAAGACTGTCTTAAACAACTAAGGGAAAATATAAAATTGAATACAACTATTGTTAGAAAATTAAAGAAAGTAAAAGCATTACTGAATTTTGCACAAAATTCAATACCATACAGAATGCTCTAGTTATAATTTACTGGGAAATGACATAGTATATTGCTAAACTATACACTAGTTTCTTTTTACACAACTTTACTAACCCAGGAAGAGCCCAATTTGGATATTAAGGTATCATAACATGTACAGAAACAATAGTATACCCTTGAATATATCATACAGCACAGACTGATTGTACTTCTTCATGTTTTCGATTGATTGTGACAGCTAGGCTCAGGGATATGAGTAGCCCATCAAATCTCAATAAATTGTTCCTTTTTAGCCAGAATCTATCCTATAATATTGTTTGTCTATCCATTCCAGTAATTTGGATAGAGAGGGGGAATTATTTCCTGAAAAATCTTGAAAGCCACGTACCAAATATTGGATCCAGAATTCCAAAAGAAAAAAAATACTTCTTCAAAAATTAGAAACTGAGAGATGAAAGCTACGTATGTTTAATGAATATTTATTATACTTCAATAAGAAGTAGAAAATGTAGGTTACATTGTTTTTTTTATTTTTTCCTCCTTCCTTTGCTTTCACCCATTTTTACATATAATTAGATAAAGATAAATATAGAGAACATACTTTTTAACATTAAAGTCAGGATTTTTTCCCCCAAAAGTAGCCTGCCTATATTTCTGTAGATGTGTTTTTAATAGATTTTTCATGAATGTAGATATTTTGAAGTTTCTTAGAGCTTGCAACAATTCACCATTCTAGACAGTAAATACTGCAAGTATATTTTGACATATTGTTGTCAAGATATAACTACTATGCAAGTCAATTTTCTGTTGACGTTTTGCCTGCAATGGCTGCTTGTTTGACTGTTCTTTCAGTTATGCTGCCCCTTTTACTTTTATCATGAACTTTTCCCCTAGGAGTGAATTTCTTGTGGGGAAAAAAGCAGACCTTTAAAAAAAAATATTATTGTTTCAAAACAAAAATGTTAAGCACAGATCTTCCCAAAAAACATTTAATGTCCTTGTACTATAGAAAAGATTATTGAAAGTTTTAGAAGCTTTAATGAACTAGGTATGCATAAGTCTCAGAAATCTTCTCTCCTGTTATATTTAAACCAAGAAATCATTCAGTTCTGCATATTAGTCTGAAAATTTGAATATCAGCTTGCCTAACTTAAGCCAAGCTGTTCTGGAATTTATTTATTTATATTATAGTTTGAGTTCCTGTTTTCATACACACACACACATACACACACACACACGGCAAGCTGATATTCAAATTTTCAGACTGATACACACACACACACACACACACACACACACACACACACACAACTTTCTAAGATATTACCTTGCTAATTATTGTAGTTAGCACTATCTGGGAAATAAGGTTTGCATTAAGCATAATGTTTCGTCTGCCAAGGGTTATGGTTACCAAAATTATACTATTCTCCTTATTTGTATGTGCTGTTGTTTGTAACTCAGCATTTTGGACAAAAATAGATATCAGGCAATACGCAGCTTGGGTCAACTGAGCATTTTTTGAACAGAATTTTAGAGATTGTTTCTGTCACATGAGTTCAATTGCACACTGATAACTAGGACTACGCAGTTGTTCAGATTTGAAGGAGGAAAAATGGTTCACAACATGCATGAGCACATACTTAGATCCTGTGAGCAACTCTTTACAGCACCACTATCTTTTCCTAAAAAGTACAGCCATATCATTGCAGTTAAACATGCTAATATTTTAATTAAATGCTGAGAGCTGCTACATGAGCCAGTGGTGTGCCCTAAAATACCTTCGTTCCTTCAATGTTCATGTTTGTTCTAATTCTTTCTCAGTGTCCAGCTTTTATAGCCGTATATTACCATTAGAAAGCCTTAAATATTTTGATCTTTTGTGCTCATAGAAATAACTTTAATCTTCATGTTCTTGTTTAAGCCCTCCTCCCTAGAATTAATTTCCTATTTACTTCTCCCAAATAATTTTCATCTTTACTCATGAGCCCAAGAAAACAGTTTTACCATCTTCTTTGCCAGCAAAGGTTGGCATTACTTTTGTTGCCCTAACGTTTAACATTAACCTATAATTTTACATTATTTATATTCTAAGTTACTTTCAGATAATGAAATGGTGTTACCTACAGATTTAAATTGTTAATATTGCAGCCTCTAATTTTGACTCTATCTGCTATTTCTATTAATTTTTCCATTGCTAAAAATGTATTTGCTATATAATTTATTACAGTAGTACCTTGGTACTCAATTGCTTTGAAACTCATTGAATTTGTTACTCAACACATTTTGAAGTATAAATTTTATCCAGGTACTCATTGTTTGTTTGATATTCAACATGCAAGCTAGAACTTGTCAGTGTCAGCTGCTTTGTGACTCACTACATTATTACTTATGGGAAAAATTTGTTTGATACTCATCAATTTTGGTACTCAACACGCCTCCCAGAGCTAGTTAATGACCAAGGTACCATTGTATGTCTTATAAATTTGGGGCAATATATATCTGACTTCATCTTTGTTTTCTCTTCCCCCCCCCCCTTTCCCTCTCTCCCTCACCCCAAATCAGTTCTTACAGTTACAATACAGCTCTTTAATTAAGAGAATTTTTAAATTCCAAATAAGTAAATGTGTTTATAGGCTATCTAGAAACATGCACAATATGTGCACCTGCATACACAGAATCATTGGATAATTTAATAGACAATACATGATGTGCTGGAAGAATGTTGTCAAATATTTATCCAGCTTTTGAAGTATCATCCCAGGAATTACATAGATTCTGCTGAACATTAATAGGATTTCAGATTTTACATGAATTCTAACACTGCATTCTAATTTCAGCTGAGTATGAATAAGACATTTAATTCCTATTCTCAAAATGAAGAATAGCCCCGTTATTAAACTGGGTTATTTTATCAATGGACAACCTATACTTGATTAGTGCCCCAGTATACTCATCCAATTCTCTTGCTAATCTTTATCTATATACTACTATAAACAGATTACTTGTGTGTGTGTGTGTGTGTGTGTGTGTGTGTGTGTGTGTGTGTGTGTGTATGAGAAATGTATAGCAGAGATTTCTGTGGGAGGTTTTGCTCACACATCTCTTTTTAAAAAACAAGATTTTAACTAAAATGTGCAGAGCTGGGGACTCACTATAAAAATGTGTGAGCTAAGGTTTAATGTATCGTTATTTTCACCCCATCTTGTTTTTAAATCTGCTTGTGTACCGTCCTCCCATTTTTCAGTTGTCTAAGTTACACCATGGCATAATTCACACAACATTCCATGGCACAATTGAAGATGTATATACCTATCTTACACAATTCGATGTTGTTCTATAAACATAATCTACTAGTTAGTAATTTGAAATTTTCATTTGGAATTGAAATGAATGTATGTTTGTTCTTTATTTCTCTGTGAAGCATAGAACAGGATTTTATATGTTCTTAACAAGAAGTCTTTCCCTAGAATTTCTCAAGGAAAAAAAAGTAATTTCCAAAATTTTGAGAAATTTGACTAGTAAAACAATCATTTGCAACATGGTACTTTGAATCCAGAGCAGGGTTTTTTTTTTCTTGGAGTCATATAAAGTATGCTTGAACCTTGGTGGAAAAAATGATTTTAGTTTATATACAGTATGGCTATATTGCCATTGTGAATTCTGATATCAGAGATCTGCAGTATATCACAAATACCTGAACAGACCTGGCATCTTTAATTTCAGACTAAAAGTCGCATGGGCCACTAGATGGCGAAAATGAGCATAAACCAAATAAATTACTACTGTAATGAGAATTCACTGAACTTCTCTTAAATGAGATGTTGCAAAACTATTGTGGGTTTTGTTCTTAATCATACTGTTTAATTATTGGGATATGTAAACAGAATACATTTGTTTAGAGAATACACTTAGCCAAAAGTAAAGGTCTCCTATTGCCTTTTGTTTCATTTTGTAATGGAAAAAGTAATCATTGAGCCAAAATAGAAATAGAAGCCACTGTGCAATTAATGCTGAGAAGAGTTTGGTTAGTGTAAAAATTTTCTAGCATATAATTCAAATATTTGGTATCTAAAATTATTGGAACTTACAGGTAGTCCTCGGCTTATAACCATTCATTTAGTGACCATTCAAAGTTACAATAGCACTGAAAAAGGCTTTCATACTTATCACCATTGCAGCATCTCCAGGGACACATGATCAAAATTCAGGTCCTTAGCAACTGATTCATATTTATGATGGTCAATTTCTCAGAGCCACGTGATCATCTTTTGCGACTTTCTGACAAGCAAAGCCACTTTACAACCATATTACTAATTTAACAACATTTAACAACTGTGGCCAGAAAGGTCAAAAAATGGGGCAAAACTCACTTAAAACTATCTCACTTATCAACAGAAATTTTGATCACTTATCAACAGAAATTGTGGTCTTAAGTCGAGGTCTATCTGTACCTATTTTTGAAACCTGAGTTGCTCCAGAATAGTTTCACCCTAAGGAATAGGTCTTATAGCTGAAACATCAAACTAAATTCCCACCTTCAGAAATGAAATGTCAAAATAAATTTAGTGAATGGGGGAGAGACAAAACCAAACAGAACATCTTTAAATATATCTTAACCAGAAAACCAGGTAGAGAAGTGGTTAGACATTTAATCAACAAAAGAATGTTCAAGACGGGTATAGAGACAAGAGAGAAAGTAAACAAATTGTACATGGAACACTTAGCAGTCTTCCAAGATAAGAGGACCTGTTTTATGGATTAATTGATTAAAATAGAAAGAAAAAGAAAAGAATTATCCTGAAT